GGATGAAATTAGGATTGTTTTGTGGTTGTCAATTAAATAAAGGCTGGCTTGATTTGCAGCTGTCAATACAAATAAATTAAATTGTTTTCCAGCCTTGAATAAATGCAAAACTGAAAGTATACAATGTTGTAGAAGTAAAGAGGTAAAGTGCTTCATAAGTAAGAGGTTCTGAGTTCATTTTCATCACGGTAACATGTTTCACCATGGTTTCACTGTACTCTTGTTTCTCTGTATCTTGTTTATTTTTGCTTTGGAAAAAAAGGATAGAAAGAGGATTATAACAAAAATTAAAATAAATAAAAAAAAGCCTAAAACTTTAAAATAATTAAATATAATAATCAAAACAAGTTAGACAAGTTTAAAAATAGATTCTTTGTTACAGTTGTTTATGATATAACTGTTACAAAAACTGGATGAAATACTGCCCATGGTCTAGAAACAAAGACTAAATAATCTAAGATGAAAAAAATACTTGATTTTTTAATTTTATTTTCCTAAAAATTCTATACTATACTTTCTTTCTGAAAAATAAATTAAAAACAACAACAGCAAACCTTGACATCAACCAAGACAAAGTCCTTACCACCAGGTTAACTCTTTTGTGTCAAAAAAAAGGTCAATAATGATCTTGTAGTAATAAATTAATAAATGAAGGATTAGGCATAAATATTAATCAAATCTAATTAGTTTGCTGTTTTCTTAGTTTGCTGTTTTTAATATATTAATCAAATCAGTATCAATCATGTTTTGGAGGATAGTTTAAAATTAGCTGTTATATTGGAGGATAGTTTAAGATGTGATTGGGTGGTTTTAAAGAATTTAAATGACAGTGTAACAGAAATAAGTCGACAGTTGCTTTAAAGACTTGTCACATGAAAACACTTGACACATCATAACAAACAAATGCTGCATCTTAAGATTCAAAAAAATTTGATACTGATGAAGGAAAATAAAGGTCAAGCTTTTTCTTTATCGATATTTCAAAATAAAAAGCATAAAGAAGGAATAATCAGCGTGAAAATGTGCTCTTAAACTTATTTTGTACATAAAGATGTGCTGATGATGTTGTGTAAAATGCTTTATTCAATTGTGCTGTTGATGTTGTGTAAAAATCTTGTGATGTTGATGAACAAAAAAAAATTAGTTTATATAACAACAAATTTAAAAAAAAAAACTTTAAATTTCTCAGGCGTTTTAACATTTTATTGGCAACTATTTTCATTGTGAAGTTTTCAAAATTAACAACTTTAACAACTTCACAAAATTAACAACTTTAGAAGCTTCACAAGGTTGAAAAAAATGATTTTTACAAATAATACAAATATATTTATTTTAGATCCAAAAAGGGTAAACAAAATGTTTTACCAAATTTTTTGCTGAAATCATTCTTTTTTCAGAAAATCTTTGATCAAAATTTATTGATAATGATAATTAAAAATGAATTACGAATGAACAATTTCAATCATTTAAATAATTTAATTATGAATATGCAAGTCTTACCATACATAGTTGAAAAAAATATAGTTATTTAATCTAAAAAGTCTTACCATACACAGTTGCATTAACTGAATAAACAAATAAAACTCTTAGATCTGTATTTAAAGTTGTGGGATAACCCAAAAATGAAAACTCCATAAATCCACCAGAAAGATCTTTTTTTATACTAGAACTATTATAAAAATAAGGATTTTGATTTCCATTAATAATGCAGGATTTTGTCGAATAATCAACAACAAGATTTGGATCAATGCAAAAAAGTTCTAAAACCTAAAAAAAATTAGTAAAAATTTGTTTCATAATTCCAAAATTAAAGCACAAAGAACTATGTGCAAACTATTACTATTTGATATATTACATTATATATGTATATAAGAGTTGACATATTGCAGTAGATACTTATATACATATATATGTTGACATATTACAGTAGATATGTTTCTGTTCAGCTTTTGCTAAAATAAATTCTTAATTATCATGATTGATTTTTAAAAATTTAAAAATCCTATATACATTTTTATAATATGGTCATTTTTTAAATCAACAGATTTTTTAGAGTTTTCAATACACCAGTTCCAGCAAAATTATTAAATCACACAAAAAAAAAGCTCTGAAACAAATTTATAAGGGTAAATATCTCAGTTGCGAATTAGTAATAAAATATCTAGAATTCACATTGAAGGGGCCATAAACAGTATAAAAACTTTTCGAACCATTAAGAATGTATTACCCATTTCAATGCTTTATTGTATGAATTATATTATTTTATTGTGTGCAGCTGTAAGCAATTTAAAGCTTTTGTTTAAAAATTCTTAACTTTTAACTTAAAAGATGAAAATATTTATTTTTAGCATAAGTAATAAGATTGTAAAAAAATATTTTTAAAAAAATACAAGTCAGGAATGCCCAACACCACAGTGCTATTTCAATAAATACATATGTTTCACATTATTACTGCTTTTTACTATCATTAATGGTGGGGATAAACATTTTGATTTTGAGTATTTTCTTTACCTAAATATTTTGACATCATTATTTGGATCTTTTTGTTATATATAAATATATAACCCTCGAAATTAGAGTCGGCCGACCTAACTGCCTATCTTAAAGTGTTTGAGGTCGGCAAAATTGCCAACATCTAAAAGATTTAGGATGGCAAATTATTACCAACCTCATTTTTCCTAATTCCGAGGGCTGATATATATATATATATATATATATATATATATATATATATATATATATATATATATATATATATATATATATATATATATATATATATATATATATGTGTGTGTGTGTGTGTGTGTTGTTTATATATAATGTCTTGTTTAAATTTTACGGTTTAAAAAACAGATTTTTATTTTACAATTAAATCAACTTTTATACTCAACCAGCATTAAATGCAATTTTATCAATTATATACCCATGAAATAACAATTGTCCATAAAATAAAAGTTGATCATCTTAGTAGTTCCCATTTAAACCTGTCATTTGGTATACTGTTTATGCTTTTTTGTTGATGACAAACCTTTCATTTAAACCTTATTTAATATAAAAAAGAGTTATATTAGGATTTTATGGTAGATTATGGTTAATATAAAATAGATATCTTATTTCTAAGCTGGTGGACAATACAAATAACGGACAATTATATCAGGACTTCCACCTACATAGGGTGTTTCAATGTCTGAAAATAATCCACATTCATTTACAGTTAAGTTTAGATATAAAAATTTCATAATTTTGAAAAACTGGTTTGTTGCTTCAATTTCTATTGCTCTCCCATACTTTAATGCAGGTATATATGGGTTCACAAAATGTAGCCCTGGAATGCTTATCAACTTTAATGCTCATGTTAATTTTTTTAATTTTTTCTGAGAACATCACAAATTTTTTAAGCAGTTATAACTTGGTCTTGAAAATTAAACCAAAGTTTATTTGTATTTTGTACTCATATGCTCTATATCAGTAACTATTATTTTATTTGTTTTCAAGTTTTTACTACAGGAAAATTAACTTTCTGAGATAACATTTAGCAGACAATTAATTTGTCCATATAATAAATGCCAGGTTTAGATACAACAGAAGTTATAATGCTATGAAGAGTAACAGTTTCAGTTACTTTTTAATTACTGTTTAATTTAAAAGTCACAGTTTACTAATTCACTTTCAAAAAGATTGCAAGCAACAACTATTCGAGTTAAAAGTTATTGGAAGAGAAAAGATGAAGTTTATAAAGCAAGATAACGATTAACAGACAACTTAAAAGGTTGCAAATTATATGAATAAAGAAAACAAGATGAAGGAAGCAAATTCCAAAGAACTGATGCTCAAGGAAAAAAACTATTAAACTAGCCATTACTGAGCTTGAAAGGATCAGTTCAAAACTGCTAAAAGTTATTTTTTACTCAGTAAGTATATCATTTTCCACCTCTTCAGCAGTTTTAACAGACATAGCATTGTTTTCAATTGCACAATAGACTCGAGCAACTATTGTTTCCTTTTTAAATACCTTCAAGCCAATAACATAAGACAAATTTCATACTATATACTACATTATAATCCATTTCAGTTTATATGTTTTAAATTTGTTTTAATGGTGATTGGCTTTGTTTATTTTGTTTGTTTATACTTTGTTTACTTAAATATTAAATGCAATGAATTGCTTTATTTCCCTTATAAACTCAATCCAGGCTTTTTTTCAATATGCAGCTTGAATTACCGAATTATAAAATTATTTTTTTAAATACTAATTATAAGCATTTTTTGGAAAAAAAAACTGAATTTTTTTTTATATTTATTTCTTTTTTCTAAATTATTTACAACATTTTTAAGATATTATTTTATAAAACTAAATCCAAACTTTTAGACAGAAAAAAGAGCAGAAAGTAAGAGGGTGGTATAAGGGTAAGTTGCATTAGTTAATGAATTGAAAAAAATTTTCTCATTTTAGTTAGAAGAAATGATTTTGCATTATGACATTTTTAAAAAACATTTCCGCTATACAGTATTTATGCAAACATTTCTGATATATTGAATTTGTAGAAATGTTACTGCTATATTGTGGTTGTACAAATATTTTTCTTATTAAAGTAATTTGATTGAACAAAAACATAGTTTGAAAAAAAACAGACCAAGAAATATTGAAATAATGCCACCATTATTATCAACAACTTTTCATCTTTAGTATTTTACTCTTTACTTATCTTAGCATATTGGAACCACTTAAAGAAAAACAAGAAACTGAACACAAGCTGAGATTGGAAACAATTCAAGGAGTGAAGGTAAGTGATTTGAGATGTCTGGAAAAACAAGTCACATTGTTAACTAGGTGAGAGACAATAAATTTGACCCTTAGAGCCAGGTAATAGAGTCAAACATTTCAGTGTGATGAGTATTCAGTGTAATGAATAATAAAGTTATAACTAAACAACAATATTAACTGAAGAATAATGAGAAAGAGTTAATTTGATCAGAAACAACATCTTATAGAGAACTTAAAAATATAATTATAGAAAAGTAATATAATAAAGTAAGCTTTGCAAAAAAAGAGAACAAAGGAAATAACAAGATATTTATTTTCCTCAAAATTAACAATCTATTAAAATAATCAATTAAATATAATAATAAACCAATTAAAGTCAAAATAAGAATATTATTAATATTAGTAAGAATAATAATATTATGAATATTTATAATATTACAAATAATAAAATCATAACAAAATTTTGAGTTTATTAATTCAATTCAGGTTATCTTGTTATTGGTAACATGTAACCCAGTACAACCTGCTTCATGTCCGCTTGCCTTGTAGAATACACTTTTTTAGGCAAAGGCTAGGAGATGCCAACTCCGACATCTTCCTGCTTTGGGGTCTTGGTTAAGATGGCTAGAGATTATGTGTCTCGATAAAATTCCTCATCTTGGGCAAATGTTAAACGCATCCAGCTACTGTCTTGTAGAAGGCCTCCTAGGCAAAGACTAAGGGGTAAATAGATTCTATCTGTTGACCAGCCTCGCACCCCTACCTCATCTATTAGGCTGGCACAGATTTATTTTTAATACATTGTTTCCAGTTTCGGATGTTGAATGCTAGATCTTGTTAAATAAATGCATGGGTTTTGCTTGTGTCTCTGTTTATATGACAAAACAACTCATTCTATTATCTCCTAATGAGGGTACAGCTCTAAAACTCAGTTTTATAGTTCTGAGGCCAGCTGGTAGTCAGGTTTCCCGAACTCTGTGGTAGCTCTCAGAGAGGCTGATTCCATCAACAGCTGTAGAATATTAAAGGATTAACAGTGCTTTTAGTGTGCATTGTCGAGGATTGAGTTTTATCTATTGCAAGGTTCACCAGACCTACTTGCTCATTAAGGCTAATTTGACTTTGACTGTCTCATTATGTTATCTTAGTGTTGCTGGTTATCTTCCTTTAATTTGTAAAGACTGTAATAGTCACATGCTGAGCTTGGGAAATTTTTTTTTTCTGCTGGCAAATGTGCTTCTTGTGTAACTTCTTGGATTCAGGCTGACATTAAGTCTTTTATTTCCACTCCACAATTCTAAGTCAAACCTCACTCTTCTCCATGATTTTTCTCACATTGTGGTGCTTCAATTTCCAATCAAAATCATTACTTCCATACCTATCGGCAAAACATATTCTCCAGAAAACAGACATCTGTTCACTATTGCTTGAAACCATCTAAAAAGGTTTTTTCTAACACCAAAGCCAGCTAATCTCAGGTCATGAAATCTTGTATTTCAACTCAAATATTAGGCTCTCTTGACTTCTGGAGAATCTTTAACAGTATCAATAATAAAGGTAAATCTGTTATTACACTTCTCTCGTATGGTTCAGATTTTTGTCACCTCATCTAAAGACAAAGCTGAATTGGTTGTTAAGAACTTTTCATCAATATTATTTCTTGATTTTACTAGTTCCATTTTACCTGATATAGCTGAAAAACAGGTTGATCCATTGCTTGGCATTCGCATTACTCTAGCTTCTGTATCTAAAGTGATTTCGTGCTGAGACTCTTTTGCAGCTTGTGGTCTGGACAACATAGTGTAATTTTGCAGAAGTGTTCTCTGGAGCTGTCGTCTATACTTTCAAAACTATTCAACAAGTGCTTATCAGAGTATTGTTTTTCTGCCTGCTGGAAAGCGGCATCTGTTATCCCTATTTCCAAACGTTCTAGAGAGTGAACTGACTTGTCTGACTACCACCCCATTAGGTAGTTTGAATGATGCCCTTTCTATTTTAG